AAATGAATTTAAATACAGCTGTTAAAAGATAGAAAATGACAGAGATCTAAAAATATGACCATACTATATTCTATCTACCAAAACTTATTTCAAATAAAACAATATCGGTAAGTCGAAGTAAAAGTCTGGAAAAATATATCTTGAAACATTAATCAGAAAAAAGTAAGAGCTGAATATTAAAGTAGGAAAATCTCTAAAACTTAGAAACACACTTCTCAATAATCTATGTGTCAAGCAGAAAGTCTCAAGGGAAGTTCTTTGGAAAATGCATTGACCTGAAAAGAACTGAAAATACAGCATCTCAAAATATCTGAGACACAGCCAAAGCAGTTATAAAGCTAAATTTATAGCACTAAACACATACTTAGAAAAGAGGAAAAGTCTCTGATAAACCATTTAAACTCCCAACTCAAGGACCTAGAGAAACAATAGCAAATTAAACATGAAATAAGTAAATTGAGGGAAATAATAAAAAGCTGAAATCAGTGAAATTGAAAATAAAACAATGGAGAAAATCAATAAAACAGCTGATTCTTCAAAAAGATTAATGAAATTGAGGAATCTATAGCAAAACTGACTAAAAGAATTAGAAGAGATGCAAGTTACCAAGGTTAAGAATTAAACAAGGAACCACCTCAGATCTTGAAGACTGAAAAAGATAATAAGAGAATGCTGCCAACAAGTCTGCACACATAAATTTGACAACTTAGATGAAATGGACCATTTTCTTAAGAAGTATGAACTACCATAACTCATCCAATAGGGAATAGAGCATATAAATAGCCATGTAACTATTAAGGAAAATGAATTTATAATTTAAAAACTCATGAAAAAGAAATCTCCAGGTCCAGATGGTTTCACTGGAGAACTGTTCAAAGAAGAATTAAATTTCTACACAATCTCTTTCTAAAAATAGAAGTGGAGGAACACTTTTCAATAATGTTTATGAACCTAATATTAACCTTATTACCAAAAAACAAACAAGGACAGTCAAAGAAGAAAGAGAACTGCACAGCAGTACCCTCATGAATATAGATGGAAAAGTCTGTAACAAAATAGTAGCTTATAGCATTCAGGAATTTATAAAAAGAATTATACACTATGACCAAGTGGGAATTATTCCAAATATGCAAGAACTATTTTAATACTTGAAATTTTAATCAATGTAATCCACTATATTGAGACTAAAGAAGAAAAATCACATGATCATAACTGTCAATGCAGTAAAAGCTTTTGACAAAAATTTAGCACTGTTCATGATAAAAATTCTCAGAAAAATGAGAATAGAGGGTAATTTTCTTGACCTAATAAAGAGCATCTACAAAAATCCTACAGCTAACATTATATCAATGGTGAAAGACAAAATATTTTTCCTGCAAGACTGGAAATAAACCAAAGATATTAGTTCTCACCACTCTTATTCAACATCATGCTGAAAGTTTGAGCCAGGATAATGTGTCAGTAAAAGGAAATAAAAGACATATGGATTGAAAAGGAAGGAATAGAATTGTCTTCTTCTTTGTAGATTATATGATTATATAGAAAATTACAAGAAATATACAAAAAAATCCTAGAGTAAATGACTTCAGCAAGATTGCAAAATAAAAAATAAACATACAAATATCAACCATGTATCTTTTAGTAGCAATGAACATGTAGATAATGAAATTCAAAATAAAATATTCATATTTACTTAAAACAACAACTTTGGTATAAATTTAACAAAACATGAACATGATTTTATACGTTGTAAAGTGCAAAATGCTAATGAAAGAAATTAAAATCTATATAAATGGAGAGATATACCCTATTCATGGATTGGAAGACTCAGAATTGGTACAGTAACTATGTCAGTTCTCCCCAGGTGGGTATACAGGTTTAATGCAAATCCTGTCAAAATCTCAGTGAGATTTTTTCTTAGTATGGACAAGTTTATTCTAAAGGTTATATAGAAAGGCAAAGGAACTAGAGTATAGAATAGCTAAAACAATTTTGTAAAAAAGTAAAGTCAGAATAATCAATCAAGACATTATATAGCCATAGTAAGGCTGTGTGGTATTGATGAATAAATAGATACATAGACAAGTGGAACCCAGAAACAGACCCACAAATGTGTCCAACTTATTTTCAACAAAGATGCAAAAACAATTCAATGCAGGGAAGATAACCTTTTCAATAAAATGGTGCTGGAGGAAGTGGATAGCCAGAGGAAAATAAATTATGCTCAACCTCACAGCTTATACAAAAAAATTAACTCAAATTAGATCATCTTAAACTTAAATGTAAAATGTAAAGCAATAATACTTTTAGGGGGAAAAAATAGAAATTTTTGAGATCTAGGAATAGACGAGGAATTCTTAGACTTGACATCAAAAGCATGTTTCCTAATAAGAATAATAGATAAATTCAACTTCATCAAAATAAAAAACTTTTGCTTAAGAAAAGACCCTGATGATAGGATGAAAAGACAAACTATAGACTGGGAGAAATATTTATAAACCCCATATCTGCAAATGGACTTGCATCTAGTATATATAAAGAACTCTCAAAACTCAACATTGTAAAAAAAAAAAAAAAAAAAAATCCAATTAGAAAATAGGCAAAAGATAGGAACAGATAATACATTAGCTATTACATTAATGCATATGCGATGTCACTACATACATACCAGAATGGCTGAAATTAAAAATCAGAACACCAAATGCTGGCCAGGATTCGGAGAAGCTGGATCACTTGGATGCTGCTGGTGGGGATGTAGAATGCTAGACACACTGGAAAAGCTCAACAGTGCCCTTTAAAACTTAAATGTGCAATGACCATACAACCCATGAACTGTACTACTGGACATTTACCTCAGAAAAGAAAATCAATGTTTACACAAACATCTTTGATGAATGTTCACAGCAGCTTTTTTATTTATTTATTAACCAGAAACTAGGATCCACCTAGATGTCCTTAATTGGGACAATGAGCATGACATGGAATACCACACAGCCACCAAAACGGATGAACTTTAACATACGCAACAACCTGGATGAATCTCTAGAGCATTATGCTGAGAGAAGCCAATCCCAAATGGTCACCTACTGTATGATCCCATTTATATGACAATCTTGAAACAACAAAATTAGAGATGATGACAAATATTAGTGATGCCAGGAATTAAGATATTGCAGCCAGGTGGGTGGGTTTGGCACTAAAAGGGTAGTTGGGGGGTGATCCTGGTAGTGGTGCGACAGTTCTGTCTGGATCATAATGGTGGACAAAGACACACAGATGGTACAGAACCCTACACCTCACACCTAGCGTCCAATCCCTGGCTTGATACTGTAGCCACTGAGGAAAACTGTAAAGGATACCTCTATCTTTGCAATTCCTATGAATCTGTTATCTCAAAATAAAAAGTTAAGGAAAAAAAGTAATAGTTCTAAATGCAAGCTGGTATCCTGGATTGGGTCCTGCAACTAAAAAAGGACATTGGAAAAATTGGTAAAATCCAAATAAGGTGTAATCCAGTTAATAGTTTTGTACTGATATTAATCCTTTAGCTTTGATAAAGGTACCAAGTGACATAAGATGTTAACATTAGGGGGCTGGATAAAGGGTATATGGAACTCTTGTGTCAATCTAAAATTATTTAAAAAAAAAAAATCCTGATGCTCAGATCAATTATATCCTCCCTGGGGTAGGCCCCAGGTATCTGTGCGTTTAATTTGCCAGGTGATCCTAAAGTTCTGGAGATGATTTTAAAGCAGCCAGTCCTCACGTGGCATCAGCAACAAGTTCTGCGGCTTCAAGCGGAACGCCATGTCTGGAAGTAGCACAGCTGCCCGCAGACCAGCACGAGGGCCGAGCTCCTCAGGCAGCGCCTCAGCCTTGTACAACTGTTTCCCACCTGGGATTCTGCCTTTGGAGAGTCCCCTGAGAATAGCTTCTAGTGAGCACACCACTGTTATTTGGCCTTCATTCCCAGGAAGGACCCAAATTCCTTCGAAGAAGTTTCCAGAAACCCTCCTCCCTCCCTCCACATCCACCCTAAGATCTTAGGTCCCCATGGTGCCCCAGCCTGTACGCAGCTGCATGGTGGAAGGGACACAGAGGCGAACCAAGAAAAAAACGAATGTCTTCTTGTTCCCGCTTCTCTAAACCCCCCAGTGAGGGCCAGGAAAAAAGCAGAGCTTGAAATGTTCGAAAGAAACTCAGATTTGTGTTCTTTCTTTAAAGAAAGGAGACAGCGACTGACCTGGTCCTCATCCAACCCTTCCCCTTCCCCATCGTTGCTGTCCACGCACAGCGTGGCCACGTCCCTCACATAGGTACAGGAGGGAAAGGTGATAGTCTCCTTGGGATCTGACGACCAAAGGACTACAGGCAACATAACGAGCACTTCCTCCCACACGTGACCTCTTATTAAAACAAGTGACAACACCGTTAGTGGCAACTCAGCAGGACAGGCAGAGGTGCAGTAGGAAGAGCAGGCCACCTCAGCCCCCAAAGGCCAGCTGGCACGCTCAGGGCTCTGGAAGGGGTCAGAAAAGCCACCTCCACAGGAGGGAACAGGGCTAGTGGCACAGACTTGTGGGGGATCGTGCTTCTAGGTTTGGCACACGGGACAGGGGTGTGCTTTGAAACACAGCACTGTCAGGGACACCACAAAGTTAACGTGGCCAAGGCCACGGGTGTGAACCCCCAGCCAGACTGGTGCCCCTGGCTGGCTCAGCGCTGCCGGCAGCAGAAGGCTGCAAGTTAGAAGCCAGGAGTGTGGGTCACAGCCAACTGAAGGCAGGAGTTGTGCACTCTCGTCACAACTTGGCCTCAAGAGGTACAGAGACACTGCACCATCAAAGGGAGAAAGCTAGGCCCAGGGACTAGACAGGACGGTGGGCCTTTCACTCCCTTTGGAAGCAGGCTTGAGGGCTGTGCCTGAGTGAACCCCATATCCTCGAGGTCATGGACCTGCTGAAGGCTCCTGACATGACTCTGCTTCTGAGGATAGCCCAGGACCCATATCTCTAAGGCCATCTAAAACGTGGCCTGGAGCAAGTATGGCCAGGCTGGCAGGAAATGACTCCTCTTCCTCGTTGGCTGGGCTCTCTCCATTCCCCATGTGCTGGTCTCATCTTCACACCTGGGGCCGCCTGGAAAGCAGGTAAAGTGCTAGGCTCCGCCCCAGGCTCTCCTCCGCCGGAAGGGCAGGCCTACTCTGGTCAGACCCTGGGGGAGGGAGGAGTTAATATCAGAGTTCGAGGTGTGTGACAGCACTCTTCAGCATATGCAGGAAGGGGCAGGTCTGGCAGAGAAGCCTCAAGAGGAACCGAGGCAGAGCGGGTCCAGTTCATTTAGGAAAATGGTCAGCCTGACCCCATGTCACAAGACACACCACTGCGAGGGCAAGTGTCACCAAGAGGCAGGAAAGCGGGGGCCAGGAGTTCTGTCCGGGAAGGGGCTTTAGTCTCCAAGGCCATGCAGGTATTTCATGAGCCCTCCTGTCTTCTAGAGAAATGGAATGAATAGTGGCAAGAAGGGACAGGAAGGGCCCACACACCCCCGTGGAGAGATACCTCGCCCCTCCCAGCAGCTGACAGGCTAGGAAAGGAACACACAGAGGAAGTGAAGGGAGGATATTTACCTTGGGTGTTTTCTTAAAACAAAAAATGCTCACTAGTCCATAGTCAAATATCAACTGCAGTTTCCAAATGTGCCAAAGAGGGAAAGGTCTACTGGGAAGGCTGGAGAGAGCAGAGAGAGAGACGGGAGGAGACGAGCTATGGAGCCCTACCTGGCAGTCTCTGCCCGGCCGCATTATGGGGACAGATGCTGGCTTGGCGCAAAGCCCAGGGCAGAGGCGCATGGACACCCCGCTTCCTGCTGCTCAGGACGTGAGGGCTGGGGGTGCATCCACCAGGGACCTTTCCCGGGAGGGACACCAGGCCATGAACGCTCCACGTGTAGGAGTCCCTGCCAGTCTCAAATGGCAAGCCGGGGCAAAAAAACGTTTCTCTAAAGGGCCAATATTTTCAGGTTTTGCAGGTCACGTGGTCGCTCTGCCAACTCAGCTCCGTTGCTGCAGCTCAAAGGTAGCAACATGAACAAATGGGCAGGTCCCGTTAAACTGTTTTCAAGAACGGCCAGTGGGTCCGATCCGGTCCCTCATCCATTAGGCGTCAGTAAAGGCACTTCCTGCCAGTGACTCCCCACGCCCAAGCTGCCCAAGCGGTTCTGACCTGCACAACTGCAGCAGTGCTCCAGTGACATCTCCACGCAAGCAATGATACGAAGCCCGAAGCCCTCCAGGCTAACGAGGAAACCGCAGCGAGACCCCAGGGGCCGAGGCCAGGAGCCAAACGACAGGCCAATGACAGGCCGCATTTAGGGGAAACAGCCAACAGTATGGCTACAGGACGGGACGGTGACTGTTACAAAAGGAGAATGGCCCCCAGCCGCCATAAATTACTCTCTAGAGCTGGGGTCCCCGAGCCTTGGGCCGTGGACCAGTACCAGTCCATGGTCTGTTAGGAACTGGGCCGCACAGCAAGAGGTGAGTGGTGGGGGAGCAAGCAAAGCTTCATTTGTATTTGCAGCCACTCCCCAGCGCTAGCATCACTGCCTCAGCTCTGCCTCAGATCGCCAGGCATTAGATTCTCATAGAAGCACCGGTCCCTGGTGCCCAAAAGGATGGGGACTGCTGCCTTAGAGGACTGCCCAGTGAACAGCTGAAATCAAAAAAGGATTTTTAAGAACTGGGAATGTGACCAGAGATGAAACAAATAGAACACTATTATTCTTAGATTTGAATCTGTCCCCTGAACGTGACACACAGTCTGGGTAGCGGATGGAGCCAGGAAAGCACCCACGTGAGAAAACCAAAATTGAGTCTCACATCAAAACGTCCTGGCTTTGGAAGCCCCTGTGGTGGGGCAGACCTCTGCACAAGGGGCATGCCACAGAGCCAGGGACCACCACAATGGTGCATATTAGCAGAACCAGCCCTGGGAAGTGGCGTGGATGTTCCTTCAGAAGCAGGACTGAAGCAGTGCACCCCATCCGGGACCCCTTTCCCAACCTCCAGAGACTGGGCCCTGCATGGGTTTTTGGTCCCTCGTACCTGCACGTCATCTTCCAGAAAGTACCTTTCTACTATGAGAACACATGTATGGCCAGTGTGTGCCCAAGCAGCACTGTTCCCTGTGAGGCCTAGAGGCACAGGCTCCGAGCCAGTGCTGAGCCTGCCTCTCTGCTCCAGCCCTAACCTGGAAAGGGGGCAGGATGACAGTGCCCTCAGGCCTCAGGGAGTGTTCTCAGAAGAGCTGGAACACGCCAAGTGCAGCGCCTGGCGGAGAGCATGCTTGCTGAGTGCCTGTGCCCACAGCAGGGGAGGGCTGAACCTGTGGCCCACAGTTCCTCCAGTGCCTCTCTGAAGCCCACCCACTCCTCGGGACTGCTGAGCCCTGGAGTACCTCCAGCCCAGCCAAGGCACTCCATCACAGAAAAGAACCTTCTGAAATAACAAGGACAAGAAGGTGCCCAGACGGTGACGACTCCTTCCCAAAGCCCACTCTTCACAGGCACCTTATGCTAAGGGTGGGACTTGTCTTCCAACATGGTCTTGCTATCCACAGTAAGACCTGTGTAGGAACATGCTTTTGATGTACATGTGACCCGACCACACACCTCAGCAGGTGCCCTTCCAAGCTGGGATGTTGTCCACAGGCACCCACCTTCTAAGACAGGCCCAATGGTGACTCAAATCCTCTTCCAGGTGACCTAACCTTAAAAGGCCAAGAGAGCGTCTGAACTTCACCTTATTCTTGTTCAGCGACTATTCTCTAGTCAACCATCGTAACAGGCCCTTGAGAGAAAATGTTGAATTTCATACACTCCAGCACCCTCTGGCCACAGCTCAGTGTCATCTCAACTATTAAGAACAGTAAGGAGGAGGAAGGATAGGGAGAAGGGAGAGAGAAAGAACACAGGGCAGACAGCACAGGCATGTGTGCCAGCAGCAAGGACCGGCAAGGGCAAGCGACCTCCGGGCTGATGCGTGGGTGCAGCTCACCTCTGGCTTCGGCTGTCCTGTTGCTGAGGAGCCTGGCCTGGCTGCCTTAGACAACCTGGAGACCCGTGTCCTCTGGGGTCTGCGGCAGGTTCTGGGCTTGGGTAGCCAGGAGTGCGTTGAGGTACTGCAGCTGCGTGACCTGGAGAATAGACAGTGTTATGGGCAGGTGTAGCTCGTTAAGCCAGATGGCAAAGGGGAGGCAAAGGTCACACCCTCCTGCCCACAAGCACCTGAACCAGGTGGGAAAGTCAGACTCAGCAGGATGAGGATAAAGGGAGAGCCGTAAACTGGCTGAGGGCAGAGAGGAGCCATCAGCTCTGTTCTAAGGCCTCAGAAGAAAACCAGGCACCCAGGACTGACTACCGGTGGGTGGAGGGACCTCTGGGGAGCCAAGGCCATCATTCTGCAGAGCAGGTTCGAGGTCTGCTCTGGGAAGTCTCAGATCCATCGGACTTCACTCTCAATCCACATAAGCTAGTGACCTGGCCCCTAAGGACACATAGTCTGGCCCGAGGACACAAAGCTGGTTAGAAGCCAGCAGCAATGAGCAGCCCAGACCATCACCTTGATGAACTGCAAGTCGGAGAGGGCCCTCACGGTGTAGTCAGGACAGTACGTGGATAAACAGGTGCCATCAGCTGGCTCGGGCTGCAGGTCATGGTAGAGGGGCTGCAGCGAGGACACTGGGGACTGGTGAACTGGCAAAAGGAACCACTAGTGATAAGGAGGCCATGCTAGGCGGTGGGCAGCCCCACCCTAGTGGGGACAACTGCAGTTTCTGAGACTGCCCACACGTCACCCTTGAGAGAGACTTTGCCAGGAACTGTGGTAACGTGGCAAACACACTCACCCCCCCAGGGAAAGGCTTTACAGGGATGGAAGGCAGCAGCCAAGACGAGCCCCAAAACAAGCCGCCCTCCCCCATGCGTGGCCGAGAGGGGAAGAAGGCCAGCAGGCCCTGAAGCGGAGTGCCCTGCAGGGGGCGTGGGCACTGGAGGACAGGGCCGGACCCTGGCCCTGGAGCCCCAGCTTTCACCCCGACAAGGGGTCTGCAGCTCACCCGAGGACGGCACTGTCAGGGCAGACACGCCATAGTAGGTGAAGGCCCCGTTCTCGAACTTGAGGCCCTCCTTCCCAATCTCCACCTCCACCCTGCCCTGGGTGAGGGGAGACAGGCGCACACAGGTTACCCTTCCTCCCGTCCAGTTATGCGGGGCTCCCTCTCCCAGGCGCTCCCTTGTTTTCCAATCTGGCTCCCAGTCACCTGCAAGATGAGGATGAAGTAGTCCACCGGCCGACTGCGCTGGTACAGGTAATGGTGTGCAGCCAGGCGGTCATGCTCATCAAACATCACCTCCTGGCTAACGCTCGGGTGCCTCAGCAGGTGCAACAGGACCGTCTCAGAGACTCGCAGGGGGCTGAACACGTCCACCTCTGCCCACGGCAAAGAAGGGCCGTGTCCGCCAGGCCCACGGCAGCCTGTGTAACCACACCGACTCCCGATGCCCATGGGCCTAGTCCCTTTCCCACCACAAGAGGACCGGGCAGCCACATGTACCCACAGGTGGCACTGGCCTGGCCCTGGCTCTTGGCCATCTGGCAGAAAGGAGCCGCCCTTCAGGTGACCCAAGTGTTCTGGAGTGTCTCTGCTGACAGGGCTGCAGGGAGCAGCAGAGGCTCTCCCGAACGCTCTCCAGCTTACTGGGGACAAGAACACTCAGGCTCTGCCCTGGGGGTCCCTGGCCCACCGGACAGTGAGTAAGACAGCGGGCACAGGCTCACCAATCACCCTCACCTTGGGAAAGGAAGCGCTGGGTGGCTAAGAGCAGCTGAGGTGAGATCTTCACTTTGCACCCCTCACCAGACTCCTTGAACAGGGAGCAGTCCTCCTTCCGCCTGGCAGGGGCACTCAAGGAGGCCGGCTTCTTCCTCACTGAGATGTCCCCTGGGGTGGCGAGCAGGAGGCCAGCTTAGGCACCAGCAGCCCGCCCACCAATACGACTAAACTAAGGGGCAGGTTGCCCGCCCCCCTCCACAGGCCTGGGGGTCCTAGGGCAGAGGCTCATCAGCGCCCCGGGGACATATCTTTGGCATGCTTCTTGGCTGGCGCTCAGCTGCCATCCACACACCATGATCCTGGTATCCAAAACAGAGGAGCAGTGGCCCACACTCCAAGTACACCCCAGAAGTACTGGAAGGGCAGGTGCCTCTCCCTGGAACTAGGTTATGCTGACACGCCATCAGAGCGCCAGTGACAACAGGCACTCTGGTCAATAAAAGACCACTCGCCTTGAAGGCAGGCACACTGGAGGGTCCCTAGTGCTGCACAGCAGCAGCTGAACTAAAGGTGCTGCATTGTGGACACATGCATGGACAAAGCGGTTCACTTGACAGCACAAGGGTGGGTGTCCCACTGTCCCAAGTGCCATGTGAGGCTCCCACTATCACGTGTGGGTTCTGTGTCCACCCTGCAGACCTCAGCCACTATCCTATGAAACATGCTTCTAAGACGACAGGCCCAGAACCACGTGCTGGGAAGGCCCTCTCGGCAGTGAAGAACGGGCTCTTTGACAGGATGCTTCCATAATGTACAGAAGCACCTAAGAAGCAACAGGAGTGAGGAGGAGACTGGGAAAGGTCATTAATGGGAAACAGGCGGAACCCTAAGTAGGCACTGGGGCCACCAGGGCGTCAGGCACAGGTGCGAGCACCCTGCCAGGAGCCAGACTCACGAGGGCCCTCCGACTCGTCCAGGATCTCCGACTTGATGACCTCCTCGATGACGTCCTCCAGGGTGACCAGCCCCAGGACCTCATAGAAGGGGTCCCCTTCACCCTCGTTGTTCACCTTCTGCACGATGGCCAGGTGGGACTTCCCTGGGGGAGGGGACGCGCATGTCGCAGCCTGCTGGGCCTCCCCTATGTTTCCTGGTCCAGTCTGGAACAAGCTCACCCAAGGGACAGACACTGACGTTTGTGTTCCTACAACGTGACACGCCCTGAGCACAACTCTTCCAGATTCTTACTGGTCTCACTTCACATGTGAGAAACTCAACCCCAGACCCTGCACTCACCTGCACAAGGCCACCGGTGGCAGAGCTGCAGTTAGGCCCCAGGCTGTGCAGCTCCAAGCAGAGACCCTGGCTTAGAAAGACTGCGGGCCCAGGGTGCCGACTCCAGAAACACAGGCTTCCACGGTCCAGCAACTAAAGGGCCAAGGGTGCCCTCAGTCTGACTTTCCTAGGGCAGTATTCCCAATTATGAACTGCCTTTTACTTCCAGGTCACCCAGGGGAACAAAGATCAATGGTAGCCAGCTAGTCAGACGCAGGAATACCCCCACCTCTCCAGCAGTATTTCTTCACTCGCTTGTTTAGTAAGGAAATGTAAGCTTGAAAAAGCCCATTCCTCAGAGTGTTGGGGAATGTTGAAGAAAATTCGGCAATTTGCCCTGCTTAACTAAGTGCTCTTTATCTATAAAACTTTATACTTAGCCAAAAGAAACACAATGAAAGCTACACATGTAATTTAAAATTTTTGAGTACTTACGTTAAAAAAAAACAAAGCAAGTGAAATTAATTCAAAATATATTGTAATTAACTCAGTATAGCCAAAATACCACTTGAACATGCAATTGCTATAAAACTGTTAATAGATGTTTTACTCTTCTGTAGCAAGTCTTTGAAGTTGGCTTTGTCTGCACCTACCAGGCCTGGACCTGCACCTGAAGGGGGTACTTGCTTCAAGAACTTTTGCTGAAGAAAAAATTCAAGTTCCCTAATTCGTGTAGTCCTTCTCTACCACCTTGGGTTTAATAAGTGTTGCAGTTAGAAACGTCCTGTGGCAGGTGACACTCGCCTCAGTGCAGCCCTAGCAGTCAGCACACAATGCCCAAAAGTGGAAGGAAGGCAGGTATCAGGACTCAAAGATATTGCTGTATTGCTACTGCTATCACTAGACCACTGACCAGATGATAGAGAAAATAGGCTGTAACAGAATGAAAATATCACACTTACTGCACATCATCAAATCTCAGGTGCACAGACAGCCCGTTTGACCACAGGCTGGAACACGCACCGTGTGCAGTGCTCACCGTGTGTCAGCTGCCCAGGGAGGTCCTTGGTTCTGACCTCACCGAGTCCCCCAATGACCCTCTGACACTTACAGCATCATCACTCCCATTCCAGAGTGTGCAGAGAAAATGTGACCACAGTTCAGTGATCCACCCAAGTACAAAACCAGACCCGAACACAGGCAGAGGACTCCGAGTCCATTCTCAACCCCCACCGAGAACAGACCAAGTCTTCACAGACCTTCCCTTCTCGGGACACACACAGGGCCCTTATCTTCTAGAGGATGCCCTAATATCCTCAGACAAAAATTAAAGGTGGAAATGGCCACGTCGCGTTGTCTCTCTTTTCCGGTGGGGACACTGGAGAAAGAATCACCTATTGCAGCTAAGGCAGAGGCGCTGAATGGGGACGCAGCAGCACTCCCAGACGCTTCCGCCCCTTAGTATTTGTCTTGGGAATGGCTCCATCTCTACAAGGGCCACAGCATGCCACATGACACAGACGTGTCAGGAGGCTACGACACAACACACGATTCTGGCCAGCACTCCGCTCAGATTCCAGAACCAAAGCCCGGGACCCCAGATGGCCATATAGGGGCACACAGGACCCATTTCAGCTCCCTCTGCCAGAAAGCCAGTCGCTTTGGTAGGCTACCTACATAATGGACTGAATCCTCCCTTGCCTTCACACTTCTATGAAACAGGCACAAATTTCTCAGTGAACTGCCACACGAAAGACCCCTGAAAACAGTGGCCATGTGATTTCACCTCAAGACAGAATGTTTGATGGGCCCCAAAGGCAGTCATGAGCAAGGGAGCTGGAGGGATAAAGTTTGTCATCTGATGAGATAAAATGCTCTGAAAATGTGAAGCCCCGCTGGCAGGCTGCCAACACAGTGGCTGCAGGCTCTCAGAACCACAGAGGCAGGTGGTGCATCTCAACAACATCAACCAGAAAGCCCTAGAAAGCTCTATGGAATTAATTTCAGCTAGTTAAGAGGCCAAGGGTCCTCATCAATTATATGGACACTAGAGGGCATTTCCAGAATGCCTAGTTTCTTAGGATGTTCTTAAAACTGCAGTTGAAGTTTAAATTACTCTGCTTTCTCTTTTGTTTTTTAAAGCAACTGTCTACATCTGTCCTATAAGAAAACAGGTTGCTAACATTCCCCTCACCAGGTCTGACCTTTAGAGATGTGGTTTCTGACAATGAACCAGAACATAGGTGGCTTAAAGTAGAGACTGACAACTCACCCCCCCAAGCCCTCCTCTGGCTGGATGTCCTTGAATTGACTCATGAAGGATTAACAGAGAAAGCAGGAGTTGATGGCTCTAAAGAAAACACAGTTACTTACCACAGCTCCAAAGTACACACTCTTCCTGGTAACGTTCACATAAAATAATTGGTGTCACCTTAAGTCTGCACAAGGACTAAGGGTGCCTCACTGGAGAAGGCAGCCATAATGTCCAGCAGACACTTCTGGACCTCAGAGTAACAGTAAGGCAGCTACGGGCTAGCATCATGCTGCATGGTTCTCCACAGCTGGATGGCCATGTCAAGCACAGGTGAGGCTTCTCACCTGGTGGAAAGTCTACCCCGGTGCCAACTCCACTAGGTCCTCTTTCAACACCCATTTAATCCCACCCCTTCCTATCCCAGCCTTGGCTCTCCAGCTACTCTGTCATCTGTGTATCTCATGCCTTTCACTACACCATTTCACACTACGGCATCCAATCTGTTCTCACAAATGACAGGGTACCCTGCTTGCTGGAACCTGATGATACAACACTGGCCTTGTCTCCTGGTCACCCTCTTTGCCTTGGTAAGTAGTCTCTTCCCCTGGCTTCCAGAATGTTCCAAGCTGCTGGCTCTCCTTAGCAGGCCTCTCCTCTGCACCCTCCCCCAGGACCTGCTTATGACGCCCCATGGGTTTAGGCTTTCCACTCCCCTCGTGTGGTAGAGGGACCACGTCTACACCCAAGACCAGACTTTCACCTCCACTCTGGTTCTTCGCTTCCAATTCTGTCCCTCGGTCTCCGCCTGGAGCCACCACACAGACTCCAAGGTCCAGGACAAGCCCAGCCCTCTTCCCTGCTGGGCTTCACCTCAAGGAAGGAAAAAACTCAGACTGCTTTCCCAGCTCTTCCCAAGCCCCTCAACCAACCACGAACCCTCCCAATTCCACCCCAAAAGGCCCTCTTGGGTCTCCCCTCCAAGATCCTGTGCATCACTTGGCCTGCCATTCTCTCCTGTGTACCCCAAACCACAGGTCTCTAATCTGTCAGTGCTGCTCCACTCACAGGCATCACTCCAGTGTCAGGTCCAGCCCTTCCAGGGTCTCAAGCTGGGAGGCAGCAGGGCCAGATGTAATGAACCCTCCCTTGCTTACTCCAGGCCCAGCACTGTTGGCCCCTAGGCCAGCACAGCCCCAGAGACTACAGTGGCCCAGATGGAGTACTTACCACCAGGAGACCCAAAAACGGCACTTTCTGGAGAGCCCAGAAGCACTCAAGAGATTCCCTGGCAGAGTTGTCCAGAGGTAGTAGTCTACTAGCCAATTTGAGGAGTCAGCACAGTAGAAAGTTAGAGAGGCTAATTTTGCAACACCCAAACCTCAGGAAAAATTAGAAAAAAAAGTTTGAAAACCGACTCAAGGGCAGGACAGTGGATTAGTGGTTACCGGAGAGAAGGGGCGAAGAGGGACGGTAGATAGGGGTAAAGGGTGTCAAATATTTGGTGGTGGAAGGAAATTTGACTTTGGGTGCTGGACACAAGATGCAACATACATATGAGATATTATTAAATTGTACACTTGAAATCTATTTGATTTTATTAACTAATGTCACCCCAATAATTTTAACTTAAAAAAAAGCCAAAAAATTGAAACAACCCAAATGTTCCTCAACTGATGAATGAACAAACAAAATGTGATACATCAAAAAAAAAAAAAAAAAGAAAAAGAACTTTGAAAACCACTAGTATCTGGAACACAGTTCATGCAGACATCACCCCAAAGTCTTGCTCAGAAAGCACCTACCTCCCTGGTGGGCTTTGGGGCCAGGAAACCTCACAGCTGCCGAGAAGGTCAGGCTTTGCTCATCTCCTGGCTACATATGTTATGCAGCCTTTGGGGTCAAGCCCACCAAGAATTCTGGGCTGTCCCTCCATGCCCATCCTGCAGTTCAGGTCTGATAAGTATGGCTGGAGACCCAGGAAAGCCAAGCTCTGGGGAGCATGCCCAAGCCTAACCACACAAAGGACTGCAGAGGAAGCCACACCTTCACGCTTGGAGTGTGGGTCTGTTTTATCTGCAACCTCAGAGTTGCTCAGGTACAGCAAGGTAAAAGAAGAAGATGAAAAATGTGGAGTGAAGGGAGAACCTGAGAGACCTTACTCAAGGTTAAAAAGGGGAAGTTAAAAAAAAGAGAAACCAAATTAGCATCCATTAAGTTGCTTTTGGCAAAATCAAAGTGGAAGTTTCTTGCACATCTGTATTTTCGAATTGCTCCCTTTTCTGCCATCAGGAAGGCATCAGCCCATCAGCGACCTTAATGACCTGGAAACATCACAGGTCCTGCTTATCTGACAGTACAGGCATCCCTCCTCCAACTGAGCTTCACAGCTGTTGCGTTTTTCAGAAATTAAAGCCAAGACTTTCTTCTAGCAAAAAGTATAGGACTCGTATTATTGCTGTGGTACAGTACTCAAGCCCCACTACCCGAGGTCACCTAATAGCATCCAGGCATCAAGGGACTACACTCTTTTCCGTGTTCTTTTAGTTTCTATCAAAGAGTTTAGACGTGCTACAAAGTCCACAAAAAATGACCCGGAGAGGAAAAGGGCTGGAAGTTGGAGCTTAGTGGACATATCTCCCTGAACTAGGGGCCTTCCAGAAAAAAAGTTTTGCTATTTACAGCACTGTGCCCACCCTCTAAACGATAGCCTTTAAATGACACTTCGGAAAGTCATTCAGAACTACAAGGCTATCTTCTTTAAAAAGACATTTAGAGGTCTTACTGCCCTCTAGAGGGCTGGAACCCTCTCCTTGAGGCTTCCTTAACCCCCACCCCTTTTCTAGCGGAGCGCGCAGGCCTTCGAGTCCGCTCCACGATTCCCAAACATTACCTCGCTTGAACTCCTCGAGAACTGCGTCCAGCTTGGTGTCGTTGAAGACGAAGTGGAGCGGGTGGTTGTAGAAACGGGTGATGGTGCTGAGGGGCGTGCAGTCTTCGGGGTCCACAAAGGCCAAGTCCTTGAGGTAGAGCATGTCCACAATGTTGGAGCGCTCCTCCTCGTACACGGGTATGCGCGTATGGCCACTCTGCATGATGCTGGCCAGGACACCGAAGTCCAGCACGGTGCCGGCGTCCAGCATGAAGCAGTCCTCGAGAGGCGTGAGCACATCCTCCACCGTCCGGCAGCGCAACACGCCCTTGCTGAGGTCACTGTAGGGATCGCCGCAGCCGCGCGCCAGCTCCAGCACGCGCTCGCGCAGCCGCCCGGGCCGCGACGCCAGCTCCAGCAGCTGCCCCACCGGCAAGGCCACGGGGAGGGTGAGCAGCACGGCCAAGCGGCTTAGCGCCAGCGCGCGCGGAGCCAGAGCCAGGGTCCAGCGCCCGCTCACCGTGGCCGGCAGCACCTCAGCTACCAAGAATGCGAGCCCCGCACTGCCCAGCACGGCGGGCACGAGGGGTACAGCAACCCGGCCACCCCCGCCTGCGCCAGACCAGACACAACCAACAGCGCGCCCAGGGCGCAGCACGCCCAGCGCCGCGCCGGCTCCAGGCGTCGCGCTGCCGCGCGCTCCTCTTCCGAGCCATTCTCGCGCAGAATCTGCAGCTCCGCGGGCGCCAGCGCCAAAGCACTCAGCTGCAAGCCCCGTGCCAGCGCCGCGAGCGCCAGCAGCCCCGCCGCCCCCAGGCCCAGCGCC